TCTATCCAATTTAGAGCGATCATCATTGTCTTTAACATATGTAGATAGTGGTACATCATCTTCAGAGTCTGAGAATACGGTAGAAGTATTTATACGTGTACTATTTATAGCACTTATTTCTGTCTGATAACTAATAGATCCTAACTTGTAATGATTACATCCATCGGTATGACAAAAACAACTTAGTGACTTCATTGTAAGATTGTTGGGAATATAAGCTGTGCCAGTCACCTGATGCACCAATAGTGTTCCCTTAAAAGCGACCATTTCGGACGACTTATCATTAATGATGGTGTTCATCTTCTCAATTTGACACTCTTCGATCACATCAATTTTTATACCTGGGCATCTTTCACGAATGACAGTAGCGAACTCATTCAGGTTAGTTATATCTCCTCCTGTAGCAATCACTTGGTCTGCTGTTCGTTTACAAGTGGCCCCTACACCATCGGGTGCTCCCTTCCCATGTCCAGTTCATGAAAGTTCCAGGTATAATTTATAATATTAGGGAGAATGTCTTGCAGTTTACAGCCTAATACGCTTTTAATTCTGGCTAAGCGAGCGGCTTCTCTCTTTTTTTTTAGTATTTCTACCCTAGTCAATTTGCTTTTAGCGTGCCGCATGTTTATGAACTGAAATATAAAATAGAAATGCTTATACACGGTAGCAATTAAGATAAAAGTGCTCCAAAATTAAAAAAAACATCAGTACCATGGAAACACGTCAGTCCTCTGGCGCGATGACTGACAAAGGACTGACGCCAACGGACTGATGAAAAAGGCATAATTTTGAGGTTATAATCAGAACTAATGTTTTTTTTGGTAATTTCGAGCATCAACAAACTACATTTTAACAAATCATAGTTAACTTTGTATAAATGAAAATAAACCTGAGATTAACTAGAAAATAACGACTCACCACAGGACTGAAATTTTGACTGGCTCAGCACGTGTATAGACGACAAATACAACCCAAGCACTGGTACAGTTATGGCGGCCATCAAATTGTGCAATCCGCAACTAACTTCATTACCAACATTAAAATTCAAACAGCGATTTGACTTTGAGTCGGTGATAATTTGGCGCGAATTTCAATTTTAAACAACGCACAGCGGACTGACGAATAAAACAAACACAAAGTTTCTTAATTTTTTTTAAATAATGTGGAGAACATTGCATTATGAAAGTTGTAGTATATATTACTATGTAAATCACAGATTGTAGTAGATTAGTAAGTTTTCTCAAATCAATGATAATGTTTAATAGATAGTCACTTGATTGTTGGTTTTCGGGATTGTGACATGCCAAAGGACTGACGTTTTAAGCATTTAATGTGGTTTTTTATTAACTTGTATTTAAAATGAAGAGCTGTGATTGGGTGACCAAATAAAGGACCTTTCATTGTTTTAAAATAAATTGTAATCTCAATAAAATATAATAAGACTTTGCATATATTGACTGATGACATTGAGTTACCCAATTTTTGTATATTCACCCATGAACGCATTTTTATTTTCATTCAACATGAACAATAAAACTCTTAAAATAATCTCAGATAAATGTGTCATAAAAAATTGCAAAGTAAAAATACTTATTATAGAGTTTATTATTAGTTATTAAGCTTAAGTAATGTTTTGTACAGCTTTCGTAGTGCTTACTTATTAATAGCAATAATTTTGAAATAATGTTTATAAACCTTTGTATTTTCGTTGTCCATTAAGTGATCCCCAATGAGTCTTCTTGGCATCCTCACTTCCACTGCAGATATTCAGATCACTTGAGAATATCTTGTGATGTATAAGACTTTTATTATTGTTTTTAGTGTCCGAATGGAAAAACGATACGAATTTATGCAGCGGGCTCATTGTGAGTTGTTATATTAATTCAACACCGACAGAATATGATTTGTTTAGAGCAGGTGAAATTAACACGAGTAACAGAAAAATCACTGTGCACCATGACACACTATCAACAACAGCACTGATCGAATTTATAGAACTTTCTCAAATAAATTGTTTTACGAAGTTAATAAAATAGCGATGCACTAATTGTTGTTAATGAGCACGGCACGGAAGAGCCCGGCTGCGAGTGCGGCTAAGTTTTTTGTCGTCACTGTTCTGATGCGCGTGCGACAGTGTCGCCGGCCGCTCTTTTACCTATTGCCACTGCTTCGCGCGCACTTTCATCAAACAGACTGGGACTTTCATTGGGCACCGTTCACCCTCTATGTGGTGGTTTGTCATGCTCTATATTTTTTACGATTATCTACATTATGGTATTTGCCTTTTCTCTTTGATAACAATTTATGGTAGCAATGCCAATGATAATGTGGTTTTGTAAAAGCTATCTTTACTACTTAATAACGTGGAATCTATTACATATATCTAATGACAATTAACTCGTCGAGTACCGGTTTTGTAGACACAATTATAGAACAATAGGTTGCGGTCACCGGTGACCGCTTGGTGTTTGACAGTTTAACACTATGAAAGTGAGCGTACTTAAATATTTAACGAGTTTAATCATCAATACATCCAATAATAGCCAGCTTGTGTTGATATTTTCCATATCTAACTTTTGTAGCAGTCGTTTCTGAAGCTGAAAAATTATGTTTTTGGTGACGATAAAAAGAATCATATTACATGTTCCTACTTAGATAACTATTAGCGCGGTTATGTGGGTACAATGACAAACAAACAACATAAATATAAAAAGTTCAATCGACGAGGCATTTGCTACCATTCACCAAGTGTCATTTATTACCGCCTCCTCCACCGAGACATGTCTGGTCACATGTAGCGAAAAATTACAATAGAGGAGATAATTATCATTGTGTGAATCCTAAACGAGTTTAAAACATTTAACAGTTCCCAAACCATTATACCTCCACAGTGTATCTTACATAAGTTCTGGCAGACGTAACTTGGTGGCTGGATTTTATTGTATTTGCTTTTTCTTTTAATTACACATAATAAAAGCGCACATTCGTAGACTCCGAATGAGCTCGATAAAATGACGTCACAACTTTTTACTAACCCTCGGAAGCTGTACAGCACATTATGTACGGGTTATTTATTCTCCTTACAATATTTAATGCTCACTTTTCACCTCGCTGCTTAGATACAGAGATTCATCTGTATTCTCATCACGCTATGATAATTGAGTTGCGTAATTATAACGTCCATGAGCGCAATGTAAGTTCTTATTAGATGCGGATGAGGTAATCAGAATTCTATGCACTGATGATAAAGTCAATCCTTGCACACAATTCCTATAAATCCAGACTACATAAAAAAGTGATCCATAACCATACTATTTTTGGGAGTTCATTACCAGTATGGGTAGCTTAGTTCTCAAAATATGGTGACCATACCGATGGGTTTCATAGGCAAAAGTTTCAAAAACAATAATGATAACAATTAAAATGACACTGAAAGAAAACTACATTTAGAATATATACCTTTAATAAAATTGTACTATTCATCTGTATTAATTAATCAATATTAACAGGTGGACCTAATATACCATATTCGAACATCATAAAAGCACGTAGAGAAAAATACTATTATGAGATTAAAAGTCCTAAGTACCCGGTATGTTAAAAGTATTTCCCAACAATGCGATATCAGACAATACGTTCATAGGTAGAAAAACACTTCCACTCTATCTTTCGGACATGTGTAGTAAAACTCTGATCACAACCATGTGTCGAAGGCACGTGATAGATAAACAGACTTGACAGTAAGTACCTCAGCACAGCTACCATAAAAATAAAACTCCTTTTAGAGACGCTACTGTAATTTTATAGTCCCGTTACATTGAATGTAATTAAAATTCGTTCCGTTTTTTACCGCATCTTGGCGTTTTTACTACTCTACTGAGTTGGACTTATATATTTTTTGGTTTTGGTGCAAAAGTGTTATTTTTTTTATTGTACACTTGTTTATTTATTCATTTGGAAATAAACCTTACATCCATATCATTAACGATCACATTAAATACTTAAAACGATGTAAAATGTTTTATAAATAGACAAGAAATTATAAGTTACTAGTCATCGTTATAGTTATTATTGATTTTACAATCAATAGGTAAAATACATACAACTGAAGTCTGTGTAATAGGCAGTTGAGACAATGATAAAATGATCAGTTTTATCTAGGGTAGATCAGCTACCGATACCTACCATAAAATCAGATAAATAAATAATCGGATTAGTGCTGTCAATCCAATATAAAGATTGATCATTGTTACGTATGCATAATCTCAATTTAAAGAAAATTCTGTTTTACGTATTCGAAGTCCACGTTAAACTGCTTTCTTCGAATGAGCGCCATCTACCAGACATTGGATGAAGTTAGTGATGAAAAAGACAGAAATCGACGCAGGCGCCACCACATAGTAGAATCAAATTATCGAAGAAACGTGTGCTGCCATCTACTTGAAATTATAATTAACTGTCATGCGGCAGAATAGATGGCGGCACTGTCGTTGTGGTTGATCAACAATAAGAAAGTAGCATATAATAAAATCACAGTTAACGTGAAGTTAATAATCGTAGGATTAAACTTATTGGTCGATGTGTATTTGAGCAGAATAGAAAATTGTTCAATATTTCATAATAGGTAATGTAAACGTAGGCGTTTGCAAATATGAAATATAATACACGAATGCGAGAAGGAAGCGATGAAAAATGGTAAAAAATACATTTGGGATTAGGAAAACTGAATTAGGAAAACCCAAAACATTATTATTGTAAATTAATGCCTAATAAACCGTTGCGTTATGTATGTATGTCCATTAAATTAGCTGTTTTTATGACTTCGTAGGCAGTCAGTAGTCGTCTACTAAACCTATAAAAACATCCGCCAGCTTTTGATATCAACAAAATATCATTAACTGTACCTAGGTTAAAATACAATCAAGCTACATTTAGTATAATTATTGCCATTAAATCGAAAAATGAATTCTATTGCCATACTTAATTAAATTTTCACTGACCTTTGTTAGTGGGTAGAGTGTTAGGTCTTTGGGCCGGTGGCACTCGGTGGGGCGCAGGCTTTCGTGGCGAAGGGGGCGGGGCCAGCGAGGTGCGCGCACGCACCGCCACCGGTGACGACGACAACTTTGGTACCACGCCATTCTTCTTCGCTGTGAAAACAATAGTACAATGATTAATAAACATCATTCATAATCAAAATAATTCACATACGACCAAGTGAAAGTGATCTGTCTTCGTAATAAAATCAACGACCACCTAGTAATGTAATCTAAAATATTCTAGATACATTCAGTGACCGATTTAGAAATGTTCAAACGTTGAAAGCAAATAACAACATAATGGGCGAAGTGAATATCGTAGCATAGCAAGTAACCATCGGAAAGCGAACAGAATGATAAGGAAACGAGTCAGGCTATTGATGCAACAAAGCGATGCCAATGCAAGTCATTGATAAAGCCACAGTTGCAAAATAAGAGAAACGACACCCGGACAAGTCACTAAAGATTAAAGACTACCTATCAAATTGTCATTAATTACATTAGGTAAGCATATTGTTTATTCTGTATCGTGATCGATTTGTATCAATTTGAAATGCAGACAATAGTCTGACTAGTGATGGATGCATCAATCAAGGAGTATGGTGAAATAAAAAACGAATGAAGGCGATTTGACCTGAATAGCGTTCACAGATGTGCAATAAACACGCATTTCAAGAGATATGTAGAAAATTAATTCCGAAGCAATAACTGGGAAGGTCCAATCTGTTATCAAAAAAAATCCAACACATTAGCAATAAACCACAAAAATCCCTAGACCACATTTTCAGTTACATTTCCGAACTTTAATAGAGATGAAACTGAAGTTGGCAATTTATTTATTACATTTGTCCTTGTCAAAATTATCGAGACTAAGCAGACTAAAAGAATGATAAACAAAGTTAATGAAACAATCTAGAACATAGACGTATGCTAATATTATAATACGTTAGAAGTGATCGGGCCAGTTACCATTTGACACAGTTTTCAAAGGACAACCTTTGCTCAGCCGCTATTGTTTATACTTCAAAGATGAATTGCGTAAGAAAAGTTACGAAATCGGTTTTGTATGCAGAATATTTCGAGTTCGTTTCGTTCTGTGTATTGTTTTTGTACCGCCTGTTCCTGTCTTTCAAATGATTACTGTGACTACAAACCCAACTTATTAACATGTTTTATGAGACAAAAACAGTCATAATTCAGTTTTGTCAACAAATTGTGTTCAAAAAACGCATTTTTGTCGTTTGAACAGTTTAGCAGATGTTTATTTATGCTACTTATAGATACATTCTGTGTTTACCGCATATATTTTTAGATCCCAATAATTTTATAAAGCAACCTTGATGTCCGTTTTTGCTTTATCGTAATTACAATTATGTTTTACAATGTACCTCTAATAATTCATACCATTTGAAATACACAGTGCCAAAAATGTAAGTACTCCTAACTGCCGGAGTTAATTTTAGCTCAATGATTGACTACATTTGAAGATCAAAATAAAGGTTAAAGTAGAACAATAAAGGACAAACAAAACATATATTATGTACCGTACTAATGTCTAACAAATTAAACATAAACCAAATTTTTGTTACGTTTACACTTATAATTAGAGTACATGATCAATACTTATGTCACTAATAGTTAACGTTTCACCGTAAATAAACCTCACGTATAAGGCTCACGTAAATAGAATAACAATTCTACGAAAACCCAATAAACTTTAGTTCAAACTGGAAATCTAACCTCGTACCTAGAGTTTAACAATCACAACATCAGATCCTAGAGCGACGACGGGTCCAATTAAGACCTTATCGTATAATTTCTATCGCTCATTAACTTTACAAACTTGCTAAGCTAAGTCCGATACATTCAATGATAGGGTTTCATTAAGTCATTAAGAACACTGCTTATCCGCTCCAATGGGCGTCTAGTATCTCATTAAGCAGTGAAGCAGTACATACTATATGCTTTATGTAACTATAAGTCACCTGACTTCCTTCCTGACCATGCCTTCAGGTACACACAACCATATATACTTGTACACTAAATTTGTCAGTGCCAACAAAATTAATTAAGACTGTCTTTGGTTAATCCCACTTAACAGCGTTACGACATGACTCCGTCTAAGTGGATCACTAGTTAATTAATCCCTTGCTAAATGACCTTTAAGTTCTGTTTTTTTAAACCTTGTTTGAACGCGGACATATAATTTTGGACTTATTTATTAAACTTAAAAATGGCGAATCCCGAGTTGATTCGGAGTACGGTAATAATCCTTACATAACAACAATAATGAAACGACGAAATAATAACGTTTGAGTGTGAAGGCACATTTTATGTCAACTTATTTCTTTGCAACAAAACCAGAATTGCATTACCCAGCAATTAAGGAATTATTTCTACATAATTTTAAGTTTTATTGAAACCTTAATTAATCTCGTTAGTTTTTATTCTGATTGATATTCTGATGCTGTGTTTCAGGTCGACCGCTCTTAAGCTTTACGCTTGGATAAGCGGCGTCTTGGTCAGTTGTTATCAATTTTACTTCCGATGCAGGACTGGTACATGCACACACGTAGGTATTCAACCGGACGGTGGAGTGTAAATTATAAACGGCACCTTTCACGTCTTCTCACGACTCGGCCATAACAGCATCGTGTCATCAATCTACTTCAGTTTCGGCCACTGCTGTATTGTCATTAGGCTGCAACTTGATACTTTTTTCGGTGAACGGTAGCCCTAACGACATCTGTCTGTCACCGTTTACGAACGTCTATTTAAGTGGTTCTTTTGCGCCGTGCTCTATATGGAGGATATATTTCAGTAGATACTTATGTAGATTACTCAGTCGATGACTCACCTTGCACAGTTTGGGGTTGTGGAGGGGTGGGCGGCGGTCGAGCTGGGGTTGTCGGCGTAGGGGCGCTCTCCCTTTTCTTGCCGTTCCCTGAAAAAGATGGAAAACAATCATGAATATAGAGCACCACTACTTTCACACAAATACCAGAAGAGAACATAATATATGTAGCTGTATACGCAGAAACAATGCATAGTTTAGTCATTTTACAAAACAATTAAGTATAATAATTACGTAGGAACTGCGTCATTCCAAGCCTTAGTCCTGATTGTTGAGGTTAAGGCGGTTATTATTAATATTATTATATGAAAATATTCTTTTATACATTGGTCATCTAAAATGACTGTCAAATCTAAATATAAATATGTACAATCCGGCTTCATTAATTTACTTAATGACAAAAAAATATACGTAAAAACAGTTTTGACACAAAAACTTACTCAATACAACGTAATTATGAAAAACTTGGAACGTATGAGATAAAGTTGTATTAAGTTTCCTTCCAAAAAAATGGACAATTACCACATAATGTAGGCACCTAGCTGTTTATTATCTGCAGCACGGATCTCATATCGCGTAGAATGTACCGTGGGAAGAGTAAAGTCGAGAAAAATGATGAGATAAGTAAATGCACGAGGAGAAACCATTTATCAGTTCACTTATGTAATGTTTATTGTACTAAATAATTGTAGCAAGCACCCATTACATGCCATGTCGTTGTGAAGTGCATATCGACCTATTTTCGAATAAAGTACATACTTACATATACATTTAATTTATTTTCCTTGACAAACAAAATTGAGGAAAAATTCGTATGACGCATAAGTGGTTTTAACCAAATTTTACTTAATTTAAAACCATAATTATGTAATAATTTTACTTCATTAGTAATATAAAAGTTCTAAAAACCAATATATTTGTTATTTATGAAACTCATTCATTTAGCAACACACTCAATTTTAGAAATTAACTACTGGCAAAACGTAGATTTCACACTATGTATTCTACTTTATATTGTATGTAAATAGACTTGATTATTTTAAACAATGTATTAATAATGCATAATATAATAATGAGGTATGTATTCCACCACCGCAATAACTCCGCGGTTTCCGTAACGGACAATTATCGTGTCCATTGGTTGAATCTCCAGTCGGTAATTTTTTTGATTGCCAATGAACAGTATATTTATCGCCGACATATTGCGAATTCAGTCATCCAATCTCTTTTATATTACCTAGCTCGTATACATCGCAGATATAAAATTTCCGTCACTGATGTATGAAAGAAAGTGTCTCGGAAATTTCTCCACCGAGGAAATTTTAGTGTAGCGAAATCGATTTTTACTTTACAATGTGAATGGAAATCCATTTTGACCACTTAATTAGGTTTACTTTTTTAGTTTTAGTTACTCTTAATTATTGTTTATTTAGTGTTGCTTGTTGAAGAACTGAACTTTCTCTGTGGGATCATTTTAAATTACAATAAATTGCATCAACAATAGGTACTCAACACGCAATTTCTGCACAATAGCAGGGCTCGGGTGGACCTTTTAAGTGGGCACTACAAACGGCTTGGATTTTATGGACCCTCGTTAATAGAGATCAGAGGTCAGGTGGGCCCTAAATCATTTCAATATAATAAATACATAGACTTATTTTCGTGATACATCAGAATATGATGCTTTTTGTACATAGTAAAATCTTTATTTGGATTTTCAGACACTTTAGTGATTAAATCTTTACCATTAACCAAGATCTCATGACGACTTTCGTAAGACACTATCCTCATTCACAAAGGCACCCACAAACCATTTTATTGCCTTTACAACATGCTTTAGGTATAATAAACCGAAACAACACTGCAATAGTTGTAAAATAATAACACCGCGTAGGTTTCATTTCATGAGAAAATTCAACATTACCTACTAGTAAATACAGAGGAGTGATAAATTAGACCAAACCAGTCCCCATACAGCTCTGATTTCTATGACAAATTGCTAATGTTGATAACATTGTATCATTTTTCCCGTATCGGGGTGATATTGAACTGCAATTTCTGCACGGAGCTGAATCGGTACTAATTCGTTACATATAATTAAACATATAACTTAAACTGTCAAACACCAAGCGGTCACCGGTGACCGCAACCTATTGTTCTATAATTGTGTCTACAAAACCGGTACTCGACGAGTTAAAGTAACATTTTAGCAGTTATTTTAGAATGAGCAATTCACCTTGAAACAACCATTTCGTGGTAATCTTTAGTAATACCGTACTTTAGATTGTTAACTTCAAAAGTTATATGTAAAAGCATTAGCATACTACTGACTAACAGTAACCGGTAACAGTTAACAACCACCCACATCAATGCAAGGTTAAGGTCAGGTTAAAGTTTACATATAGATAATTTAACTACGTCAAAGTTTCTAGTACCTATTTATCGCAACGTTGGTAATTTCCTTGATAGTTCATTTCTATTTCGATAACCTTTTGTTGAGATCATTTTAATTATTATGAGACTTGCCATAACTATTGTATCGAAGCGATAAAAGTGTTATGAATTATATTTTTGATCAATGGATAGGAGTTTCAATTAATGATACGTGAGTTTACTGCATATATATGAGATGTGAATGACTAAAACTAATGCCCGTTTTTACTAACCTATAAGTCACACCTAACAGTACATTTGAGGGATTCGTTTAGGGGGTTGATGAACACGGCCATAGGCATTCCTCGATACCAAATATCGAAAATTAACTTAACAAAATCAGATCTGCAGCATAAGCTTTATGCTTATCACCTAATAAATAATACCTCATTTTTATTTGTATTACTTATGTACATATATGTATAATTATAGATGTTCACACACGTGATGTGTCCGTATAATACGGATTTCACCTCGTAAGGCTTCCACCTGTACAGGTTACTCCTGAGCGCACATGCGGACAAAACGTTTTGATTTCCCGCGACAAATTACTCATCAACTTTATCTACTAGTAAAAACCACTCTAATAAAATGGAATATAAAGGAAATCTTTTAGTAAATTCGCTCATTAGGTATTTACTATTTTACTATATACAAGTACTAAGTTTCACTAAAATCTCTACCGTCATTAAATATTATTAAAGAAGTTCTAGATGTATCCTGAAGCATAATTCATTCAGTTCATTATTAGGTATTTAACAGTGATTTGTTAAATCGTTTAAATTACCTTTTTATATTTAACTAACTATATCAGTTTTATCAAATGACAACTAGATGAACACCAAAAACAAAATAATATTTAAAACAATCTGTTACGTGTTGTTACAGTGTGTACCAACTTAACATACTGCAGCCGTCCAAATAAAAAACTTTGCACGCAAACTGTTACGTGATACTTCGATTTTTAGTCTAGTGATTACGACTTACGACTGGATTTTGAATCACTTCGCAAACTGTTTGTACGTGCTGCTAAAGACTATTAAAGGTGCAATTAAATTGTTTCTGCTCTGAGTAAACAAGGTTTTATTGATCCGCTGTTCCAACGAGATTGCTATCCCGAATCGTATCCAAATTCAGACTACACTGTTTCTGATCTAACAATACACACTGAAACAAAGAGGTAACTTATATATTGTACGCAGTATGTGGGTAGGCATTGTAATTGTACCGATTGTGCTCGTAATTGTTTTTAGACACTAAATACTCAAATGTAAAACTAGGTTGAGTTTGAGTTCTATATTAAATATCAACTAGAAACATGGTCAGGTTAACGTTCTTTCTACTTGGAGCAAAGGCCAGGAAAATGTCAATGTCGCTTTTAATTGAAATCGGAAACAGAACGCAGGTCAATATTTTACCTAATGATACACCAGTAAACGACAGACTATAAGGAAATAAAAGTTACCGAGCACTGACCCTTATTTACCTGTGTGACTAACCCAACTACAAGTATTCAATAAATGCTGTTAGTTTCCTATGCGTTAATAAATTACTAGGTCTTTACTGAGACTGTTGACCTAAAACTACTAAGTTTATTGACAAATGAAAAAGTTTCTTCGAAAGCAAAGGAACTCAACTTAGAATGACGTCAGTGTTAAACTGATTATTGTTGTTATTTTTCCAAGTAGTGCCACGATATTACCTCAAGGTCAAAGGTATTCGACCCAAACTCACGCAGTTAGTGAAACACAATTTTCAGAAACCATAAATCATTAAACAACAGCACAAGTGGACTTTGACAGTGCAATTCTGCCGAAATTGTGACTCATTTGTGCTTAAAACTAATACCTACTTTATTAAGGCTCATTCTCATTCCTATTCACTGTTTCAGAGTGAGCACATTTATACGTATTGTCGGTATGATGAGAAACCCATTATGGCACGTATTAAATGTCCATTAATGACATTATAAAATTGCTTGGTAATTGTCAAGGCTACTCACCTCTGGTTCCAAAAGATCCGAACCTCTCTCGGTTTACCGCTATCTTATACTTTTTGTCATTCGGCACTGGCAGCTTGGACGGATACTTCTCCGAGTTACTTCTGTATAACTTTTCTTTGGACCCGTGTGCTCCCATCTTCAATGTCTTCATTAATAGTCAAAACATTTTATTATTTATCCATCTTATTATCGTAATTAAGCACTTTTAGGAACTTCGTCAGACTTTTTTATCACTTGTAAAGTCACATCATAATTGTTTAAACATAATATTTTGATAAAGTTTTGTCGTCATCTGTATTTGTTTGTATCTCTACAGAATGAATATATTATTAGTTACTTCAAAGAGCCATCGAATAAGAAGTAACTCAGTGTCATATTTCGAGTTAATATTTCAATAACGTATGCATATTTCGAACTTAACATTTTCTTTTTGCGTACTTAAAAGGAAAGTTAAGTTATTGCAAATAGCCTTCAACGATAAATTTACAAAAGCTCTCATGTGTTTGGTTTCGTGTGGTCAACAAAGCCCATTCGCTGATATAATTATTGCAACGCTTTAATCTATTTCTGTAGGCGACTCACTACAAATGTGCCAGTGTAACAGGAGCTCCCACTCTGCTCTCGATTCTTTTATGGACAACTGATGAGACTTTAA